TTGTCAGGAGTGTGGGACAAAGAAAAAATTCAGAGTCTCCATGAGGAATCCAAAGGTCTGAGGTTTAATTCCTCATGTGGACTCAGAATTTTTTCTTTGTCCCGTACTTGTAACAAGATGAAAAACATCTTTGTGATTAAATTATTTGTATGCAAGAGTAATACTTGGAGGGGTTCTACACTGACACCTCTTGGTGCAAATCTTCAATATTGGAGTTACGGTCTGAGTATTTGTAGGAGAAAGGTGTCTCACCTTCCTTTTAATTGCACAATAATGGTTGTTTGTGACAAAGTCTTGGGGGATAAAAAGTAAATGCTCATTGGCAAATATTCTTCCCAAATCTTACTTGCCATAAATTAAGTGAAAGTCATAGAAACACTATGACATCAATGATAGACCTCCTTAATTAGACCAATAAGATTGGAGTTGTGAACAAATACTAAATACAGAAGCCTGTCCCCTGCATAACTCGATTACATTGTTTTCACTCGGAGATTATGCCCCTTTTTGAATACTGAGGCCCTAAAAAAGACTTTTTGTTTTAGGGGTGCAGCAGCATGGAACAGTCTGTCAGTTGAGGCTAAGCAAGCCACTACCTTAAATAGCTTTTATTCTTCTATTGTATAATATTAATAACTTACTTTTAAGATTTCTTCTCATTAGATTGTAGTTTTTAAGTCATAGTTGTAAAGTATTAGGTACTACATGTTTAGGGTTAATGCACGGCTCTTTTGAAGACCACTTTTCTTTTAGTGATAAGGATTCCGTGATTAAATAAAGTGATTAAAGTTTTTTTTGTTTTGTTTTGTTTTGTTTACACTGCTTTCCTATTTTTGGTTTCGTATTTAATCAAGTGGTCACTTACTTTTCATTTCTCTACTTGCATATTTTACTTTTAATTGTATATTAAGAATAATTCTCATTTTTTCATGTTCTAATTGTTTCAGATTTCTTTAAAATGACTGTGCCAAAAGAGCAAGAACACTTGGTGAAAATGTTACTATAGCAATTGCAATTTATTTTTTTAACCAATGTTCAAACGTTTGCTTCCTCTAAAATCATTTAAGGATAAAATGAAACAGTGAAAGCTGTAAAAAGTTCCTTGTGCATGGTAAGGTGTACCCAAGGGGCTAAAATTTATGATACTCCATAACTTCTGCATACTAATTTTTGTGAAAAAAGAAGTTTAGATTTTTTTTACTGGATAAAAGCATGGCATTCCCTTTAAAATTGAAATCCTTGAAACCTTGCATCCACATGATAATGGTTTTAAGTATCACACCTTTTTTTTTAACTGATGTAATAATGGACAAGGTGCTTTCAGCAAAAATAACTTCTACATGCTAGGGATTTGAATATCTCTACTGTGATTGCCCTAATGAGTCCCATTTTACACATAAGATGGCTTTTACTATTTCCATTCTATAATTTCTCTACTTCTTTCCTTAATCAAAATCTCCCTATGATTACATAGAACCTGCAACATACATGTATGGGCAGATCTAAGTTATTTTTCTATACGCATCTACATCAACCAAACTGACCTGATCAGAATGTGTAAAAGGAATGTGCTCATTGAGAGGTATGTAAAAGTAAAAACACTAAGTAACCATTAATGAGAGCAGATCTTAAGTCCACAATTATGTAAGGTCCTTGTGAAACTCATGAAGGTGAAACAGACATTAAAGTGAATTCACTGAATTATCCAAACTCAGTGACAACAGGACATTGGAAGTAAAGCTTTAATATCTATCGTGCTCATGATTTTGATTTTCTCCTTGGGAGATTTGTTCCATTATTACCATATAATGTTGATTTATTGTATTACTAAAGGTACTTGCATGGGGCTGAGTAAAATTAAGGAATAAGAATTAAGAATATCACAAATGCTTTCAGAAGTAGCAGCACTTTATACAACTTTTGACAAACAAAAGTGATATTTATCCTCAGTTTTACAAGGAAACGTGCAATTACTTGTTGATGATATGAAGGGCAAAATTTTCTTTTCCTTTTTGGTCAAAAACACACAGTCACAAAATTTTGTAGGAGGCCCTTTCTGTGTTAAGTTAGTGTTGGTGAACTTTTAACTGCATTTTTGTGCCACATTGCCAAAGCTATTAAAAATGTTCATCATCAATGAATTTAGAGAAGTTTGAACCCCCAGTGTAATTACCAAAATTAAGGAAAAAATGCCCTCTGTCTCAGATATTCAGCATTTAGTAATTTTTCCCTCTAAGTTGTCATAGTGAATGATACACAGTTCAAAGTAATTCCACCCTCAACTCCAACTCGTCACCCTCATTGTCCCAATTATTTAAGTTTAACTACTGAGTGGCTATTTCAAACACAGGTCTAAATACAGGTTGTTAAAAGTAATAATGTCTTAAAGTGTGGGCACAACTGGGCTTTCTATGCAGATTTCACAATGTTCGTTTCTTATATTTTCTTGCCTCAGAATTGAATTGTAATGTATTGTACCAATCAACACCCAGTGCCACAGAATGGCTTAAAGCAACATGAATGTCAATTTAACCCTTTCACTCCTAGGTGTGATGATCATTGTACAGATTCTCCTTACAATTTTAATTAACTGTTTGCAGCCAAGTAATAAGAATTAGGAAAATTATTATATTCAGAAATTGTCTTGATTTAACTTTTAATTCACACAAAAAAAAGCCTGTTCATCTAAGCAGTAAAAGGATTAACTTAATGTACCAATATGTTTAAATGTAACTAACATTGCATAATAACATTAATTTTAACTACCTTTTTGTGAAATTACTAGGCTTCAGGACTGTGATTGTTATTTTAAGACAAAATTTAAATCAAAGTTAACTTCATGATTGTACCCGATCAGAATTGAAATTGTCCACTATGCTGGTTTTTAAAGTTTCTGTTCTTTTCCAAAATATAAGGGTTCCAAAATTGAAACAGAGTTAAAGCCCAGGGTGTACAATGATGTTCAAAGATTGCTCAAAGATTGCATATCCCTGAAATTGTTTGACTGCATTGTCTTGATAAGGTTGATCAACCTTCTAATAGAACTGAAGGTCTTTTGCCCTGGGTCAGTTATAGCTGGCTGATAATTTACATGCCCAGTAAACTGAAAACTTATGTTTGACAACTCTATCATCTGGGAAACAGTATTCAAAATAGCAATGAGCACATCCTGGAAAAAATAACTTCTTGCACTCATAGTTTCAAGTAGGTTGCATCCATGGTTTTAACAAGCAGTGCAAATGGTAAAATAGATGAAACTTGCCTTGTCACCCAATATATAGTGTCCATTTTGAAATATGGATCAATTTCGTCTGTCAGTCCTGGTCTCCGCATCATTTGATACGAGTATGGTTCAATGTAGGCTTGCAAGACAACTTGGCCTGCTTTGACTTCACCAGTCTCAATGTCTGTGTACTTTAATTTTGGTGCGTCCAAATCAGCACAGATAATAGACGGTGTCATCTTTATCAATGGTTTAGACCCATCTTCACTCGGGTCCTCAGAATGGTTCTCAGTGGTCTTTGACTCCAATACTTTGACAACCTCCTTTGGATTTAAAGACATAAATGCCAAATTCCAGTTTGATGAAACAATACTCTCTTGCCCACTGGCAGCCTCAAGTTGAAAGCGACACCATCCTGTAGGCAGCGAGTATGTTTGGGGTGGATTACCACTCTTACATAATGGTGTTTCAACATCAAGACAGCACTCTTCACAATAACAGGGATTTAATGCATCAGCTTCAAAATGACATGAAGGAATGTTCAAATAACTGAGGAATCTAATACAGCTCTCTTGATATTCACAACTAGCTTTGAATGTGTCAAAAGACACAGTGCTCTGCTTGGTTGGTAAACTTGAGGTACTTAATTTCTTACGTGGAACTTTCTTTTCTTTACAAGGTAATGTAAGAGGGCACTCTCCTTCAACATTCTTCATACAACGGTCGCGGCAGTGAACATCCAGACCACATCCCTCGCACTTCATTCCTTGATCTTTAATTCCCCACATAAATCCTCCACAAGATGCACACCATTTAAAATGTTTGTAGGAATGAGGTTTGAATACATGGGGGCAAGCGATGGCCTTTTTCTTTTCTTCTTTTGGCATATGTCCATCTACATGATTAATTACGCGAAACATATTGAGCACATCAACAACAAGATCTGTGATCGACTTGTATTTCTTCTCATCAGTAGAATCAATAAAAAATCTTTCGTTTTCATAAAATAATCTATAATGAAGAATATGCCCCCCGTAACTTAAGGACAAGCTGTAGTCACCCGGTGAGCTATTACTCTCTCTCACTAAGTATCTTCCGTTGACTGGACCACTAGGACCAGAGAGTAGTTCTTCGACTTCCTCCCGAGGAATTCGGCCATGAAACTCTTCTTGAAAGAACGATGGTCTGGAGGGCAGATTCTTCATACAAGCTAAGCGAATTGGCTCAGGGGCAGCATTCTGCTGCAGAGCGAGCAGCATATCACTTTGCCAGGCTCTATTCTCGGGTTCCTTCAGTTTATCGATGTCGACGTAAGCGGGAGCCCCATCGGAGGGCTTGTGTTCTTGAGGTGGTTTGCTTGACATTGAAAATGCTTTTCACCAGATTCTCGAGTTTGTTTCTTGATTTTTAATAAACCCCTATCTTTCCTTCCTTTTCTTGCTCCGAAGCAGGGTCCACTGACCTCAGCCGAGAGAAGACTTAATTTCAGATGCAGAACGAAGTTACTCACATTTAGACTATAACGAAGCTATGAAGATCGTTGCGAAAAGCAAATCATCCACTTTGGCACTCGACTTGTTGTTCATCTCCACACTTAAGTCT